GGGAGATTCGATGGTGTCCTGTACAGGTTGGTTTCTTCGGCTGGAATGAGGGATGGGGAGATTTGATGGTGTCCTGTACACGTTGGTTTCTTCGGTTGGAATGAGTGATGGGGATATTCGATGGTGCCCTGTACAGGCTGGATGTTAATCTGATGAGGTGCTCTTGGAGAAGCTTGCCTGAATTCGGCGCTTTCTCAGCAAGTGGTGTGTGCTGCCCCTTCGAGATGCAGAAGTCCCAGAAGGAAACTGCTTCTGCAACCCCCCTTTACTGGTGAGCAGAGGTCAGGTGATCTGCAGCTGGCCAAGCAGCTGCTAAGTGGCCAACAGGCTGGATCTGCCTCTCACTTTCAGAGGCCCTGCCTGGCTGCTGGGGCCGCCCTGAGACTCCCTCCTCCTCCTCTTTCCTCCACAGCTTTCCCGGCTTCTGTCCACAGCTGTGCTCCAGGTGGGGAACATCTGTGGGTGCACCAGTGTGCAAATACTCAGACTCCAGCATGCAGAAGAGCCCCAGCTCCATGCTGTTTCCATATCCAAGCCCAAGTTTGTCTAGAGCTTCAGCAAATCCAAGCCTCCCTGAATTTCCTGCAAGACCAGACTGAGCCCTACAACCCCCACTACACTGGTTAGCTGCCAGTCCCAGCCCCTGCTCCCTCCTGGGCCCCTGTCTGTACAGTTCTGAAGTCCTACAAGAATGTTGAGATCCTAAGCTGACTCTCACCCAAAAAGGTAAACAACCAGGGGCCTCCAGGGGTAGAGAACATACCCAGACAGGTTCCGCTGCCTGTAGGCTTGATGTCCTTCCCCTACAACACACCATGCTTGCCGGGCTGGAAGAGGGGCTCCAGAAACTTGGGAAACCTGGGCCTGTAGCTGGCATGTGGAAAAGAGGCCTGGAAAAGCACACTCCTGTCCATGAAGCCCCCAGATGGAACCAGGTAATTGGGAAATACATGGGTACCCAGGCTGACCCCCACTCAGACCCAGGTGGGAACTGCAGCAGTGACTTGCCCCCTCTGCCACTCTGGCTGTACCACTACAGGAGGGGGGAGCATCTAGCCCCACACGTGAGTGGAGACACTAGGTGTAGGCAGGTTCCAGTGGTTGCTGCAGCTGAACCTTCCCAACCAGGTCCATGCAAGGCCATCTCAGATGGGTGTGCACCTGGGTTGGGCAAGGACACCCCTCAGACAGTGAGAGCCACTGAGCAGGGCTGTCACAGAGGCCCCTTTTCCTGCTCCGAGAACAGGTTGGGGGAGTATGAGGGACCTCTCCCCGCTCCCAGGAGCCACTTCTTTCAAGATGAGGCACTCTCCTGCCTGCCTGTTCCCATTTGGCTGCAATAGACCATTGCCAACATTCAGAGAACAAAAAGGGGCCTCACCTGTTTCCCCGACACGTCGAAGGCAGGTGGGTATGTCCAGGGGACCTGGGGTAGAACCTAAACATCGGCCCACCCCCAGGCCATGCTGGCTTCATCTTATCTGTGTGATGGGGGTGGGGGTGGGAATTACCAAGAGACCATCACACAGGCCATGGACAAGTTCTACAAGAGCCAGGTAGAAGAGCACTGTCCGTGCATGCTGCCCGGCACCCAGCTCACACACACACATCTCTTATTTGACAGCTTCCCCAAAGCAGGCTTTGAAGTCCAGGCTCCCCGAGAAGCCTGGGGAGGAGACTCCGCCAGGCTAAAGGGCCTATTCCCAAAGGTGCCACCCTCACCAGTCTCATCCTGACAATCTTGGGTTATTTTTGCCCTGAAGTTTTGGAGAGGGGGACAGGGAGACACAGACAGTACGCATTAGCCACTTTTCCGGAGAGCATCAGCCCTCCAGACTGGGGCAGGTCAGACCTCCACTCGGGCATTTTCATCACTGGTTGCCAGTTGGGGGAAGCAGCATTGTGAGCACCTGCCCGTCTCCCCAGGTCCTGTTCAGAAACCCCATCTGTGCCTCTGGAGAGACTGCCCTGAGCACACAGGCCCAGCAACCACCATCTATGGCCCCCAGGACCTAATCGCCTTCTGCATAGGGGTCAGTGCATGTGAGTATACACTGGGCTTGATTTCTGCCCACTAGTCCCTGCCAGATATCCCATACCCACCTCAAGAGAACGAGGTCACACAAACACACCCAGGCCGTCATGGTGATGGAGTGGCTGGGGTCCTACTTGCCCACCTTCCATTGCTGGTTCAGAGCCTGACCACATGCCTATCCTGAGATGGGACTTTGGGGACATTGCCCACCAGGGTCACTGACCACTTTGAGTTCAAGAAACAGAGGGCGAGCTGGTCCCCTAGAAGTCTGGAACATGGGATAAGCCAAGGCTTGCCTTCAGAACAGGTTTCCACCACGTAGCCGCCAAGGCCCAGGGCATCCCTAAGTTTAGGTGAAGCCTGCCTGCCTGCCATGTCCACCGCCCATGCCGACCCCTCCTGGAGCCACTGGAATGCTTGTTCCTGGGCATGAAATAAACCCAGACAGCTTCAGCCTTGCAGGACAACAATGTGCATCTGGCAGCAGTAGCCAGAGGGCCCATAAAAAGAAGGTGGAGGTGAAACCAGATGCTATGAGGATACTTTATTAGGCAAAATCATATACTATAAAAATGCTTTAAAATGCAGGTGAAGACACGAACAAGTGCGTAGTGACACATGGCAGTCAGAACACAGTAAAGAATCCACACTGCTTCCCCCGTTTACCTAGAAAAGGAAAGTTCTAGGCCTCCTCCTCAGCATACTCCTCAAACTCCTCCTCCTGGGCCGCGGCATCCTGATACTGTTGATACTCAGTATCCACGGCCCCAACTCAGCTCCCTGCAGGGAGTTTACATCAGTAGCTCTTCACCTTGAAGAGACACCTGGGCCTTCCTCCCAAAGCCCGTTTAGGAGGCAGATGCAGCCACTCCACTCGGAGGATAGGAGGGTGTTCTGGGGGCCCTGACTCCACAATTCCCACCGCGATGACCTTGGGGCACTCCTAGATTTTGAGCGGCCAAAGAACCTCACCCCAGTCCTCCCCCACAGCTCACCAAAGATGAAGTTGTCCGGTCTGAAGATCTGCCCGAAGGGCCCTGAGCGCACAGAGTCCATGATGCCTGGCTCCAAATCCACCAGCACAGGGCGGGGCACGTACCTGCCACCAGAGTGGGGCGGGAGGGCATGAGCGAGGGGAGGGCCACGTTCCCAGGAGGGCGGTGGGGGAAGGACGGGGCTCTCACCGCAGGCCTCTTTGTAGTATACTTCCATGCGCTCCAGCTGCAGACGGCTGTCCCCATGGCAGGTGCCAGCGGAGTCGATGGCATGTTCATCAGAGATCACCTCCCAGAACTGCAAGAGAGGGGAGGGGCCAGACAGGCCAGGGCTAAGTCACGGGGCACCCCAGCTCCTCTGCCACCCCCACCCTCCACACCCCCATCCCTAGGCCGCTGTGTCCCTGGGGTCCACCCCAGCGGCCTCACCAGCCACCCAGTCCCACCACGTCCCCAGCAGGGAGCCCAGGGGCCGCAATGCAGAGGACCCGCCCCCGCCCCCACCACTGCCAACATCTTCCCTGGCCACCCGGCATGCCCGAGCTGAGCCCTCAGAGCCCCGGCTGCCAACCATGGCACCGATCTGGTTCCCGCACTGCTCGGCCTGCGTGAGCACGATCTCTCTCATGGCTAAGGCGGGATCAGGGCGGCAGGAGAAACGCGAGGAGGAAGAGCAGACACGCAGTGACTCAGCCCGCCCTCCGCCAACGCTGAAACAGCCCCGCGCCCACCTCCCCCAGCCTCGGATTCGGCTCCCAGAATAAGCAACAGCTTTACTTCCACACAGGTGTACCCACCTGTGAACCCCTTGGCGTTGAACGTCTGTTGGAGAGCTCAGGTGTCCCTGCTGTGGTCCTTTCCACGCTGGGGAAAGCTGATCAGCTGGAGAACTTCCTCCCACGTCTTTACTAAGACTCAATTCTTAGCTGACCTGAAACTGAATTTTCCTCCCATGTGGGAGGGGAGGACTCCAGTTTCCACACTTACAGAGTGCCTTTGCACCTGTCCTAGACTGATGACATATTTCTGTA